TACATATTTACTTTTTGAACAATTTCCATCACTTTACAAACTCAGTTTTAGAAAATACTTTTTGCAGCAACTTCAAACTTTTAACTTTCTATTTTTTGTGAAATACGTAATTTTTGTTACTAAAATTTGGTAAAATATTTGCGAATTTCAACTTTCGAATTTATATTTGTTTTAATTTGCAGGTTTTGCTGAAAGAAAAAATTTATAATATTTTATATAATTAAGTTTATGATTTTGTTAATTCTAACAAAAAAAGGTCTTTGTGTGCATGTTAATCAAACGTAATTCACCTATAGCCAAAGAAAAATTTTAAACACAATTAGACTTTCAATTGAAAATATTGCATAATTTTACAATAAAACAAATTTATTGATTAAGTATTGTTTTATTATTTTACTAATTTTCGTAATTTGATTTTATTTTTAATAAAAAAAAAAAATGAAATAAAAACCAGCTCATACTTACGTGATTGTTGCATTTCTGTGATACGATATGGGTGCATAGTGATTTCTTAAACATAATTATTTATTTTATTACATTTTAACTTTTGTTGTATGTATATTATCATTATAATATGTTGTAAATAAATATACATATGTATATATATATATCCACAGAAGTTATACACATATATAGATATACATATTATATATAATATGTAGGGATGTAAGTTTGGTTTTACAATAATTATAAATTTATATCAAATTTACATTGATTAAGCAACTATTTTTTATTAGTTGAGAATTCTTTAAAGTCGATAATTTCTTATAATGCAAAATATTAACAAATAACCGTACTACATATGAATTCAACTCTAATCATTTTAATACCAAATATAAAAAACGATCATGAAGTTTACACTATTAAGAAGTGAAATCATACGATTTAAAATATTACTGTAAATTTATGTTAGAAGGAATTTATATAATGTATCTAACTAATTATGTTCATGTTTTAAACAAAACTCAAAAACTCGTGCTACCAGCGATTTGTAGGAAGTAGCTAACTAATTATGTATATTGTAAAACTACTTACATTCCTACATATATATATATATATATATATGTATTTGAATATAAAAATAAAAAATCTTTGTTATTTATTAATTTTAAGAAAATAATAGTTAAATAATGGGAAGCAAAAACACAAGCAAAAAACAGGAGGAAAGAATACAATTTTTTAAATGTAAAACAAAAAGCAAATACAAAATAAATGAAAAAACATCTATTGATAAAAAAAAATTATCATTATTTATAACTTTGTCATTGATTTGTGTTGTTTTTGCCTTTTCAAACCAAGTTTATAATAATAGAAGCATTAAAAATAGTTGGAAATAAAATTTTAAAAAAATTACAAAAAATATACATAATGTCAAAATATTGCTGGTCAACCATAAAATCCAAAAATAACAGCATCAAATTTAATCAAATATTTTTATAAATAACAAAACATTAAAATAATAAACTAAATAATACAAATAAAATAAATTTGAATAAATTTATATTTTGTAGAGCATGGATATTTTTTAATTAAGTATTTTTTATATTAAGATAAAAAAATTAACAAAAATTGAATAAGAACCTTATAAATTTAGATCGTTAAATGTATATTTTGAATTTTTTTTCCAACTTAAATATAATAAATACATTTATGTATATTTAAACATATATGTATGATTTATTAAAAGGAAATGTTAATTGATTTTTTTACTATTTAAATATTTTATTTGTGTTTATGTATTATTGGGTATTTGCAACTAAAAGTAGAAAAATAATTTTTTCCTGCGTTTAGAAAATAAATTGTTTTTATATGCACATACGTACATATGTACATTCTTATATATTATATGAAATTGGATACTAACCACTAAATTTTGGGTAAACTCCCAAACAAATTATTTTTTCCAATTTATTTGTAATATCATAAATTATTTGTCACAATGTAATGAACACATAACTTTTAATTGTTAAGAATTAATTAGAATTTTTAATTGTTAAGAATTTGTCGAAATAAGGAAAACTATTCGGAAAAATGTAAAAACGAAAAATAATTAATTTAAAATGTAACTGGACTCTCTAACAACATGTTATTCCTAGAAGAAGATTTTATATAGGAATTCAACAAAAGATTAAAAAAACAAACCAAGCCCACCAAACTTCTTAAGGAAGCATATTATCATTAATTGCTACATATGGTATGGTTTTATCACATTAAAATAAAGCAATATGTATGTATGCCTGTATTTCACAAATCTTACAATTTTTTTGACACTTTTCTAAAAATAAATAAATTCATAATAAATTAATAATAAATTGAGTAAATTTCAATAAAAGAAATGATTGACAAAAATTTGCAATATTTTATATAGAATTAACCTTTGTGACGTAAGATATATGTACATACATATTACCGTAGTAGTAACTTTTCAAACAGAATATTATTTTTTTGTTGATGTAGATTTTTTTAATGCTTTATTCGGACCACGGACAAATTATTTTGCTTCAAAGGTACATAGATATTTACTTATATTATGAAGTGCAATTACAAATTAATATACAAAAAATATTACATACTGTTGTAGAATTTATGTGCCCACATACATACATATGTATATCAAAATTTTTCGCAATTTCTCTAAAAATATTTGTAGATTGCAACAAGTTTCCGGAGAGTCTAAATCAGTTGGTTCGTTATTTCTTAATTGGTAAATGAAAAGAAATATTTTTTGAAATCAAAGGAATCAAAAATTTACAAAAATATGAAATTCTATTTATTAAAATCTTTGTTTATTTTTTAGTATTCATCAACTTTATTTGGAAATATTCTTAATAATAAATAAAAATGCTGATATATACACAGATATGCATACATAGATAATACGTATATTGTATGTACATACATACGTACATATTATCTTAATTAGTTACTACCATTTTAATTGAAATTAATTTTACATGCGTTATGCGTACATATGTACATACTTTTTTTTAAATTACTTTGGATAAAGTTAAATAGATTGTAATTCACTGATACTTCTTATCCAATAAATTAGAAGCATTAGGCTTATTTCATAGATTCATCGGCTTCGCGACGAATTGATGTATGAACATTTTCAAATGTTAACATTTTCTTTATTTTTGCCGCTTTTCTTATGTTTTTTTCAATTAGCGAGGTTTAAATGACTATAAAAAGGAAATGATGTTAAAATTTTTTCATAGCGATGTGACTTTATACGAGGAATTACTGTATTTTTAAAGTAAAAAACAATCTTATTACACTTCATCATATAAAGTGTAATAAGAGTACACTTTATATTTTAAACTTTATAAGATTACACAGATACATATGTATATTGCACTTTATCATATAAAGTGTTATATATGAAAAGTTAACTCAATAAGTTACGCGCACATATAAGCAGTCAAACTATTTCGTTAATTAACTAAAAATTTCAATCAGTTTCATAAACCTATGAAATATAAACAAAGCAATAATGCAGTTGCAAAACAACTTATCTTAAAACCGAAGAAGAAATTAATTTACCTTTAACATGACATTCTTTGACTTTAAAAACGTAGTAATATAGTACTAATGCCGAATTTAGCAATTTCAATTTGTATTCTGAATTGTCTTTTAATATACTGCATATTACTGCATCTTTGAAGCCAGGCATGCTGGATTTGTGAAAAAATGTAGAAATATATAATGTATGCATATAAAATTATTTATAATTGAAAAATTATATTACCCTTATTATGATCGGCGAAGCGAATGGATAGGCGAGTTGAGTGAACCAGGCGAAACGAATGAACTAGGCGAATCAAATATTTTAAATTATGATCGCCGAATGTTTTCATTCGCCAGATCCAAAATGTTGCTACCTCAAGACATCAGAAAACCTATCGAAAACAATAAGGTTAACACCACATATATGTACATTGTTTTTGCTTTTTTGCAAAAACAATTGAATTTTCCTACCCTTTAGCAATTACGCAGTAGTTGTCCATTAATTTATTTAAATACTCGAATGGTCTTTGGTTCGTTTCTTTCATAGTTTTCACAGATAGTTCAGATTTTTCCAATAAAACACATGTTTTTATTCATTCGACAGATTTGACAGCTCATTGCAAAAACAATTGAATTTTCCTATCCTTTAGCAATTACGCAGTAGTTGTCCATTAATTTATTTAAATACTCGAATGGTCTTTGGTTCGTTTCTTCCATACTTTTCACAAATAGTTCAGATTTTTCCAATAAAACACATGTTTTTATTCATTCGACAGATTTGACAGCTCATTCACCGAAAATTCATATTCGCCAAAAATTTTATTCGCTTCGCCGATCATAATGAGTTCCTAAACGTGGAAATTAGTTATATTTCAAAATAAATTTTAAATGGTTATTTTTAACTCCACGAATAAAAACAAAATGCATAACTGTATTGAAAATAATAGAAAAAAAATATAAAGTAATAAATTTTTTTTCATGTTATATACCCATGTATGTATAAATATGTATGTAATATTTATATGTATACATATATGTAAGTATATATGTATATAATAATATTAATAAATACGAAATAACTATTATTAATAATATTAATAAGATTCATGTACATTCAATTAGGATGTATGTATTAACATATAACGTATACATACATACATAATATATTTTTCTGCAAATAAAGGTTACAAAGTGAAAATAAATTATTTTGTTTTAATGTCAATATTCATTTAATTTATTTATTTGTTTATATAATTTAGTTACATAAATACCACGGCTGACAGAAATAAAATACTAGTAAAAATTCAGTCCTAAGTTCTTACACAGATTTTAGTTGCAGTGCCTCCTTAAAAGTGTTGATATTGAGTTGAAATTAATTGTACTAAAAACAATTCTGAATTTTACTTTTCTTTCTTTGCAAGCGGTATTTTCTACTTTCTTTTGCGGATTTCCATTCTTAAACGTGTTAAAAAAATCTCAAATTATTTTAATTCAATATGAATTAAAATAAACAACAAAATATGCGAATTAGAGCAAAGTTTAGTAATTGTTAATTAATATTACTAATATTGTGCAAACAAATGTGTAGCAGTTTTCTTATATGCTATTAAAGCTTGTCTTCTACATTAATAAAATTTTAAAAAGATAATATTCTTTTAACATTTGCAGAACAATGCGATATATTCAATATTTCTTAGCAGTTCTAAAAATATTTGAATACATATTAAATACATAGGTTCGCTAAGTGAATTTTTTATTAAAGTGATATTATTGCCTGAAATCTGTTATTTTAAAATATTTAAAAGCCTTAACATAATTTTCCAATAGTGAACGGTTTTTTTTTTAGTAATTCATGTAATACGAGTATGTATTTAATATTTATAAGAATGTATAATACGAGTATGTATTTAATATTTATAAGAATGGCTGCGTATGCAAACAAACTGTGCAAAAATGTCAAACTCAACACAGTTGATTAAATTTTTGAGATTTTAAAAAGAAAAATGCGAACTGATCTGAAATTGCCAAGAAGTTCACTTTAAAATTTTTTAAAAATTTAAACATTAAGAAAATGTCAATTTTTTTCAAAAAGTATTATACCAGAAGTTTACATATTTCAACTTTACTTTATAAAGTTTTAAAAAACTTTCTTATACCAGACAGGCCTGATATATATGTAGTTCATGCATGAAACATAATGCATATGAAATCAAAAAATACTCAATGTAGAGAGAAGTGTGAAGTTATTCTATTACTTTTCTTATTATTGGTTTTATCCATGAGTATAAGTTGTTAAAAAATTCTGAAGCATTAATATGATGTTAAAATAGGAAAAAATATTTGCTGACATTCGTGCAGCAGATTTTTTTGACAAATAAAATTTAGAATAATTTAGTGCAACAACGTTTGAAAACAAATGTTTGTTATTGTTAATAGTCGCTACTAAAAAAACTTATTATTTTCAATATAAAAGAGAATGTGGTTCGCAAACACTACTTTTTTCTATTTTGAAATTAGTAAAAATAGATAATTTAAAAAGTAAAAATTTGAAAACATACGGAAAAGTTACAGGACCAAAGCGGTGAGTGGTAACGGCGTACGATTTTCATTGTTAACGAGCGGAAGGTAAACTCAATTGAACAGTATTTTGCATATTTTGCTACACACATGGAAATTGATAATGTTAAAAAAAATCGTCAGCGGTGAAATAGAAGTTTATACTATTTCACAAATGCCGGTGAAATAGCGGCGGTAATTTCGCTTTATTTTGGGCAATTCCATTCAAATATTTGTATATTTATGAATTCTTATATTTCGTCACGGAAAAGCGCTTTTGTTCTGTTTTCAACGTTACCAAATCAAATAAAAGTTGAAAAAGCTACCAAACAAAAATAAAGTCAACACTTTTGGTTAAAAATGATAAAATGGCAGCTCTGACTGTCACATGCGACATGCATATAACTAGCGCTCTGCCCAATAAACCTATTAAGCAGGACCAAAAATATTTTTTCTCTAAAATCAAAACAAAGCTGATTTCCCATTTTTAGATTCTTCTAAAATACGTATCCGGAAAAGAAATTTTTCTCGTTAAAAATTTAGCATTGTTATGATGACATTTCTTTCTAATTTAAAATTCTAATCTCTGTGAAAAATAAATATCAAAAAAAACCTATAATCGAGATTGTTGGCCAATCGTTTTGCATTTTTTTGGAGTTTCTGTTCCCGAGGAGCAATACTCGGCTGTTTTGCTTTACGATATCTTTGAAAAATTTTTGCTGAAGGAATTTGAAAGCAGAAAGATTGACGCGGTGTCCGGCGGTTTGGAAGGATCACCTCTTCAAAATATTAGATTTTCTCCCCATATTTTACAGAAACATATTTGTACCAAAACGCGAGATGTCTACCAATCGTTGCTTTCGTGTCCTCACAATCTTGTTTCGGTGAGTGAGACTTGGCTCAATAGTAGTTTTTTTAGTGAGGAAATATTTTCTTCTGACTTTCCGGTATATCGTTGTGATGAGCTTTAGAGTGTTGGTTCACGAGGTGATGGTGTGCTGCTGGCTGTTATATTGTTTGCGGCTGTTTCTCTTCCGATTTGTGATTTGTTTGGACCTATTTGTGGGAAAACTAGTTTTGGCTATTCGAATTTGTTTGTGTTGAATAGTTCCTGTTCCCCAAGTGCTTCCGCCGCTCAGAAAATTATCGTTTACGATGAGTTAGCGGCACAGCTGTTCATGTCTTTAACTTGTCAGATCCGCTCGACCACTTTGTTCTGTTAGGTGACTTTAATTTTTCTGGCACTGATTGGATTTCTTCTAAGCTTGATGATTTTTTTATTGCTTCCAGCGCTTGCTTTGGTTGAATGATTGATTTTCTTGATTGTTTTGCGTCTTGCAACCTTCACCAGGTTAGTCAATGGTTTCGGGATTAACTTGATGTTGCCTTCAGTTGCAATGTGGGAAGTTCTAGTGCTGTTTTGAGTAGTCATTGTTTTTGTAGGCCTGATAATTATCATGCAGCTTGGATATTTTCTTTTATTTTGTGATGGCGGCCCTTGATAGTGTTTGCCGAATAGATTTTAAACTGTTGCGCAATTTGGTTGGTTGGTTAAATATAGAGAGTGTGCTTGCTGTTAATGGCAATATTGAGGATTGTTTTGAGATTTGAAAATTACAAAATTAGGCCGTCCTCTTTGAAACTCTTTGAATAATCTTCGAACGATTCTGCGGCCATTTTTAATCTTTTCGTTTATGCCTTTTCCTTTGATAAACTTTTTGGTGGATTCCTTGGGATTTGGTCGGATCCTGATGGTGTGACGACTGTGGTTTTGCATAAATGTGCTTTTGGTTTTGGCCGTTCATTAAAAAGGGTGAATTCTTAACTGAGTTTTCTTATCAGATGGAAGTTTGCTGAGCGCCACTTTGTATCTTTATTTATCATATGTTAGGCTCATTTTGAATTACGCATGTCAGGTTTAAATGCTTTATCATTTTATTGATATTTCTAGGACCGAATCCGTTCAGAGGAGATTTTTTTGTTTCACATTGTATGGTTTAGGTTGGATCATTCTTCTCAGATTGATCGTCGTATGCTACGATTGTTGAACTTGCAAAAGTTGCAAATGTGGTTTTTATTCGTTAACTAATTATGGGGAACGCTGTTTCACAGTTTTTGTTAGAGCGATGTCTTTTAGAGAGAATTCGAACAACTTGAAGTTTTTTTTTGTCCGCAAAACTTAATTTAAAACCTTTGTGTTTCTCATACTAATAAACTCTACCCTTACTAATTCTTTTTTTATATTTTTTGTGCATCTAAAGATGATTGTTTTGGTTCTTTCATACAATATTAATTTGCATGGAAATTGATAGTTGGCCTAAGCAATTCGTCAGATTATAATAATACGTACATACATATATACGAAAAAAGTTTTTTCTAAACAAAATATGTAACTTAAGTTATTTGGAGTTTGAAAACCTTTGACGAACTGGTTTCCAAGTGATGTAGTTTTATGGAAAAACTAGATTCGAAATATAAATAAGCAATAACATAGCAGGATATACAAAAAAAAACGGCTGAAAGAAATTACTTGCCCAGATTGCATTCGAACTATTATCGAAGGATATCTAGAACATTTTAGATTTGTAGATTTGAAAAAAAGGAGTGAATTAATACATAAGTCCTAACACGGATATATATTGTGATAATTTGATGCATGACAGAAAATAATTTATCACTTTCAATTGAACGACAGATAGACACAAAAAAGCAAACTTTTTTATTAAATCTGTAAGTGTAATAATTAGAAGCATATCTAAAAGTAAGTATATCAAATAATTTGGCTGTAGAAATATTAATATACGTCGTCCTTGAAAATCATAGCTATTTTCTAATAAATTTAATTATCGTAAATTATTTGACAATGTGAAAATTTATTCTTTTATTAAAATAATAAAAGAATCGAACTTCTAAATAAGTCAATTATTAGAAAATAATGAAAATGGATTATAAAAAAATTCGCCTTTTCGTTACCTAGAACCCTTATAAAACTAAATTAATTAATTTTATTACAAAATATATGTATGTATAGTTTTATTTAAACTTTCATTGGAAAACATTAGTTTTATTTCAATTTTAAATTTATTTAGCGCTATATCATAACATTGTTTTAGGGAATCTGCTCTAGGAGCCTCACTCTGGTAGCAGTCTCATTTGACTTACTCTGCTAAAATAAGTGTTTGTCAAAAACATCTGAATTTCACAAATTATAAATTGTTTTTAGGGAAAATTGGTAATTAAATACATTTAATACAGAAAGGAGGCGAACTTTTAGTATTCCACACTTCTGCCAATCTATTAATGTAGTAAGTCTATTACTAGGCAAGCAAAAAAAAAAAAAGAAAATTTTGACGCTAATTTAATATGGCGTTTCAATTCAACAAAAAAATTCGTGTGCAAATTCCTCATCAGTATGCATGTTTACTAATATAGTACAATAAAGTGTATATATAAATGTATGTAAGTTTAAATACTAAAAAAAAATATTTAAATATAAAATTTGTGTTTTCTAATTTATTTGTGAGAAATCAAAGAAAATAATGCGACATAATGAAACCAAATCATGAAATTTTTTGTTCAAAGTTTTGAATATTATCAATAATATTTTTATACAAAAGATTTTAGAAAAATTATATTTTTAATACTTCATAAAACCAGTAAATCCGCTGCAAATTCAATTAAGAAGTTCAGAATAAAATAAAAATTGACGCAAATTTAATATACTATTTGCAATACATAAATTCGTATGCTATATTATAAATACGTTTTTGTGAACAGTATGCATATTTAAAGTACTTATTAGTGCAAATTTATATAAAATATGTACGTTATATTATATCGTACATGAAAAAAACCAGAAATATTAATAAATATTCAATGTAAAAGAATTCCACATTTTTTTTTAATTAAGCTGTGAGAAATTAAGAAAGGCAAAAAGGTAAATATTAAAAATTAATTTAATTTATAGATATAAAGAAAAGTTTTTAAAATTAATTTAATTCATATAATTCTTGTTTAAAATTTTTAAATCAAATTTTGTGTAATGTAGGATAGTTTGATACGCATATACTTAAATATTATGTATATGCATGTGGGTGCATGTGTTAATTTAGTAAACATAATTTAGGAAAAATAATTTTAATAAATCTGGCTCTACATAAAAATCTACACTCTACATTTAAACCTCTACAATATATTATAAACTTGTCTATCTGCAGTAAATCTAGACATTTAAAGCTACACTCGTACTTTAAAGACATCCACCCTAAAATCATATACATATTTTAAAATTTAATAAAAAACAGAAACTGCCAGGCACTTGTTTTATTTTTTAGAGGATATAATTAAGTAAAAGTATAATGATTCTAAAAGTAATAAGAAACACAATTACTAAAGAGATCAAAATACAAGAAATTGTTGAACTTGCATTAAAAGTGTATTCCAATTGTAATATTTATACAACCTATACATATGTATATACCTGTCAATATATTTACACAGAAAACTTCCAATATCCCCTTTATGGAGTACGCAGTGTCTTCCAAATTGTTAGTCAAAACATTTAGCTATAGCCGTGTAAATATTTGGCAAAACTTTAAATTTGAAAACAAAAATATACTGGTGTATATGCATTTGTGTATTGCGTAACAGAAAAAAAATTAATACAGGAATACATTCACGTTAACTTAAATATTTTAATAGTACCTATGTAAAATGAAAAATAATTACTTGCTGCTCCGCTCAAAATAAGTATTAGGGATGAGCGATATTCACACCGATAAAAGGCATATCGATATTTATACATTGATATTAATCCATAGATATTGCTGTAGCGATAATTAACTGTATTGCTTGTGTGATAATATCCTACAAATTTTATAAACAGTAAAAAATATAATATAAAATATCTTGATCCATATGAAAATGTAAATATTAATACAAAAATTGTACAGGAGCCGTTGATCGATCAACTTGGAATATGATTCTAATAAAAAAATATTTAAAAGCGTGACAAAGTTAGTATACTTCTTCTATAAGCGGGAAATAAAATACAAAATTTAAAAATTTTTTAAAACTGTAATATGTATAAATTCTCTGCTTTTGTTTGTTTCGCTGCTTTAATATTATTTTTCTAATACCTAATTAAATATAAATATGCCTATACATAAATCAATAGTAAAATTATCATACTCTGTTCATGAAAAATAGTCAATACATTTTAAATAAAAATTTGTATCAAAAAAAGGAAAGGAAAATCAATAAAAAGGAAAGAAACAAAAAAAAGTAGCATAATAAAATACTTATGTAAGTAGTGAAGTAGAATTAGTGAAGAGTTCTGATGTATGTACAAATTTATAAAAATGAGAACTTAAATTAAAACTATCAGGTAACTTTTTGAATAGGACAAATTTACTCATAACAACTTAGCAGAGCACAATTCTTCTGCTAATGCTCATAAGCAGAAGAATTTAAAGGACATTAAATTTATATGCATACATTATAGGATTTTCAATGTGTAGATATTTACAAAGCGATTATATGAGATCCATTTTAATTTCATATATTTTTATTGTGCTAAAAAGAACCTTTGAATACGTGCGTATACTTACCAGGTATTGCATAAATTTTCTCCTATATAATGTAGCAAAGTTACGAATTTCATTTATATATATATGTATATATACATATAATAATTTTCTTAAATAAATAAAGAAAATTATAACTATTAGTGCAATTGCTATGAATATTATTTTACAACTTTGTTAATCGTTTTTCATAATTTAATAATTACCAATCATTAATTAAAATCAAAAATTTAATTAAAACCAAAAATTTTTTCAAATAGTTTACAAATGTGTGATTGGTATTAAGTATTTAATATTTCAATTTGTGTCTCTGTAATTATTTTCTATCGTGTTCATTTTTCCCTCATACAAAATTGCAATTATATATATGTATAAACATATGTTTGCAATCCTTATTCAATATACAACATAATATTATAGAAAATAAAAAGAGATTCGTATAAAAATTAATATTTAAATGTTATTTTTAAAAAGGAAAACTGTTTTGCGCACTATCCAAAATATCTTCCATTTTTTTCTCTTTCTTAAAATAAAAAGAAAATTCATATTTTTTTTTTATTTTATTTGAGTTCGCCTTTTTCTTTTGTCATTTGCCTTCCAATGCAAAACCAAAAAAAAAAAAAACAAAAATAATTTAAATAAACTTTTTACTCAAAAAAAAATAAGAAATTCTAAACAAAGGCATAATAGAAAGTTTATGTACGTACGTATGTACGTATATAAAAAGAAAATTTTTAAAATACTATTCCCCCAAATTTAGTGTTTTGTTCATCCTTTTTTAGGATATTTGCCGGAAATATCCCATAGTATGGAAATTGTAATTATTTTTTAAGAAAATGTTTAATATTTAATAACATGTTATATTTTTTTCAAAATTTCATGAACATAGAATTTCTTAAAAAAAAATGCAACACATGTAGGGCTTTGTCATTATTTTTGACTAAAAATTTAGTTGCATGAAAATTTAGTTGAAATATTTTAATTGTCCGAAAAGTCGTATTTATAATTTGAGTTTTTTGCAGGAATAGAAGTTTTTACGTTGACGTTCTTATAACGGTATTTAGTATATATCTTAATGTTATGTATACCCATACTGTATTTTTTGTTCATGAAAATGTGTAGGCATTTATTTTAGGTTTTTTCTTCTGATTTTTTAATTTCAGCATGTTTTAGGTTAGCAGAGTAATGAAAATTGTTTTTTTAATTCAAAAACTAATTCGTACATACATATACGAGTATGTATTTAGATTTCATCGTTGACATACATATTTGTCTTTTAAATTTATAAACGTTGCCAAGAAAATTACAACTAAGTTATTTAACTGATTTTTCATATATATTTGAAATATGATTTGATGTTTATTCTGTCTGTGATTTCTGACTGGTTTTATTTCTTAATAATCCAAATCTGAATCAAACTTTTCAGTTTGCAACTGAAAATTTTTGAGATATTTATGAACGATTTATTTCAACTAAGAGAAAATTCATTCTCAACATTAGTGAAAACCCGTTTCGAGATAACGGTTTATTTTAAAGGTCAGTTCAAAAGCCTGACATTTTTTTTATTTCTTTCCTTTTCCTTATATTTCTTTATAGCGACAAGAGAATATATGAAAATTTTACTTCTACTTTTAAAATTAAACATTGATTTAACCAATAATAGTAAAACATGATGCAAACTTTAAGAAGCCATAACGTATTTTTTCCAATTTACATATATAAAAAATTATATAAAAAATTATATTAATTGTAAAACCATTATTGCTTATGATAAAAGACTTTAGAATTAGACAGTTCTGGCAAATAAGCACAGTTTTTTACCAATTTTTTGATATTCGGTTTTACACACCAGTAACTACTCATATAAATTATTCAATCTTGTTTTCAATCTGTCATTTTTCGGATTTGCAACCACTTTATGAGGGTATTTGTTAGATATTGTTATCGCAAATTTAAAAATAAGAGCCTTTTTTGCGCTAACGTCAAGAGTGTAAGAAGTTTACCTTAAAACATACCGCATTGCATACAAGGAAGCTTACGTGATGGTACTAAATTTCGGATGTCGAGTTTTCGGTGTGAAAGCGCTTCTCCATGGTAGGGAAGTGTAAATAAACTGTTTTTGGAGAGATGTTGGTGTGCCGGGCTGTGTTCGGCTGAACCAATTTTGAAGAAAATTTAATTTGAAATTTTATTTCGGCTAAGTCATGGACTGATTAATTCTTGGGATATAACAGGGAACTGGAGGTTTTTGCGGGCCGATTTTACATTTTAGCGCATATAAAGAGAAATAATTAACCGATTTTTTTTTAAATTTAATATCTAAATTCGGAGTGGTAGAATAGGAAACCCATAATTTTTTTGGAAAAATCCAAAAAAGATCTAGGCGTCGATTCAACATTTTTTACCATATCTATGGAGCCTATTCTTGAAATTATATATTTAAGTTTTGGTTGTTACCAAAACTATCTGGCGAACTTTTCGTGAAATTTGATAAAAGAAAAGCGATACTTTACTAAGAGCCAGATTTACATTTTTCTAGTTAATTTAACTGAAAGCTTACTAGTTTTATTAAAATTGTAAAGAAATGTTTAAAACGCATTTTCATAACTAAGGTGGATAATATACATTGTAGTTGGTTATTTACTGACCACTTCAATTTTTTTTAATAATACATTTATGAAAAATCAACTTGTACGTACATGATCAATATTTCTTGTCTACGGTATCCGCTTTTGAGGTTGAACTGCGCACACATGCCGATGGCGTACATCTCCGCCTAAAAGCCGCTGGGATGCGTTCTCAAAGGTTCGAAGAATTTGGTCCTTGGCTCAAAAACGCCCGCATCCGTCCCCTCAGAGGTTTGTGATCCATCCGTGTACCACACGATGGCGTGTGAACCGATCGGGTAGCCTGCGAGACTTCCTTTCAGTTCTCTTTGTCGCTCAGCAATGAGGTAAAGTTTTTTCGAAGCTTTATTTTCCAGCCATATAATCCTTAGGAAATGTAAGGAGCGGAACTTTTCCTTTAAGACACCACGGGATCATGTCGGACAGTCTGGCTGCCGTCGGAGCACTAAATTCTTTCTCAGTATCCTACGGGGTAGTGTGGGGCTGTCTTGAGAGGCTCAACAAACTTGCTGGATGAAATCGGCTCATACTGTGTTGGATGCCCGAATATATGACTGTGGAAGGAAACGAATCGACCGACGCGTTTGTACCGTTCATGGGCGGTTTACCTTTTGGGAGAATACGGGATTCTCACCCGCAGGAGAAGAGAAATACAGAGAAACTACGTGCTTACTCCGGAGGAGCTTCAATTTTCCGGGCCTCCAAAGTTACTCGAATTCATCAGA